ACAGCGTTATATACAGATTCTTCATTGTCAATCTTAAAAAAAAATTGCATTGATATTCATGAGCCAGTACTTTTACAAACGGAAAACTGGAAATACAAATATTGGTAGGGATCCCAAACAAGTTAACCAAACATTTTAGTACTACAGTTTCCCTCTCGAAATATCAAATTGGTTTTTAAATACAGCAAGAACGAAGATTGGTGCAGAATAATATGAACTCATTTTACTTCGTTAGGTTCTCATCAGCTGCTTACAATCTATAACACTTAAAATCAACGTTATCACAGATATTGAGATACTTATAAATACGAGGGTGATTGGAGATGGATATGTGTATCATGATGCAACGAAGACTTCGATTGAGTTAATGTCATAAAAGTTTTGTTTCAGATAAATAAATTTTGGGAGGGAAAGTTCCAGAACATTGAAATGACTATTAGAACTTCTGGAGTTAACAAACATTAGATGACTGTGTAATGAAGATTAATGATAATAATGTATCGGCAGTATATATTCTTTCTGTTCTATGAAATAGTATTTTAAAAAGTGTCTTTTTGTAACTGATTGGATAAAAGCTATTGCAGTTAAGATATATCCCATTTCATGTATCTTTTCTATAAACTAAACGTTGAACTGTGCCATTCTTCCTTCGTTCCATTACGATATTGAGAAAATGGAACTTGTTTTCATTTTCATGTTCCATAATAAACTGGATTTTTGGATGGACGTCGTTGAAAAGTTTTAGCAGATTTGTTACATGTCGATTATTGCATACGATGAAGGTATCGTCAATCTACCTTGAATAATACGTTGTTCAATTAGCTACAAAAATGGCCCTTTTTAAAATACTATTTCATAGAACAGAAAGAATATATACTGCCGATACATTATTATCATTAATCTTCATTACACAGTCATCTAATGTTTGTTAACTCCAGAAGTTCTAATAGTCATTTCAATGTTCTGGAACTTTCCCTCCCAAAATTTATTTATCTGAAACAAAACTTTTATGACATTAACTCAATCGAAGTCTTCGTTGCATCATGATACACATATCCATCTCCAATCACCCTCGTATTTATAAGTATCTCAATATCTGTGATAACGTTGATTTTAAGTGTTATAGATTGTAAGCAGCTGATGAGAACCTAACGAAGTAAAATGAGTTCATATTATTCTGCACCAATCTTCGTTCTTGCTCTCTTTAATATAATGAAGGGAACTATGTGTATGAAATATCAAATTAGTGCTTATATTACTGGAAAACTATCCTGATGCGAAATAAGATTATGAAACGTCATCAAAAATAGCGTCCAATGCTGCACTAAAATAAAAATGACTTTGTAAAATACAATTATTTTCCAAGTATCTAACTATTAGTAGTGACACATACACACACAATACTAATAATATATTAATGATGACATTTAAGAACGGTAATAAGTGAAAGCGAGTCAAAATGTAAGTTCCATGAAAATCAAATCAAAACTGTCAGTTCTAGCAAATAATGCTGTTTTCGCACGCTTATCTTAAAAGATCGAGTAAGATATGTACGCTACAGTACATAGCCTCCATATATGTGCAGACCAATACTTATACAATCACATTTGAGATTAAACAAATTGGTTCAAACACACCATTAGTTAAAAGATAAAAACAGTAAATAATTACGATGATAACCCATCTAATGAGGAAATGTTTAACTTGGTAAATTAGAAGTCTAGACACGTCAAACAGGCTTTGTGATAATATGCGATAGTAGTATAAAATGAACGATATCTCAAATCCCCCAATTAGCGAGATTAAAATTAAGTATTCAAAATTAATCTAATTTGCTTGATTGCTTACGTGTAAATCTTCTCTTGTAATAAGATCAAGCAATTCCTCAGGTGTGAGGCATACGAATTCCTCCGAGTCAACAACTGACTCAAAATTACAGGCTGCAAAGTTTCGTGTAAACTTTTCTAATTCTACACAGTTATGCAGTTCAGCAAATCGTCTGATGCCAAGAACATTCGACGAATCTACTTCCGTCAAGAGAAAATTAGAGCAAGCAACTTTAACACCCTCCATCTGAACAAGACTTGCTGCTGGAAGAAGGTCTTGGACATTAGCCATGCTTACACGAACTTGACCAGTGTACACATAATCTAGAAGGGTATCCATTATTTCAGGAGTGATGGACTTGAGTTCAACTTCCAACTGCGCTGATTCAGCCATCTGATAAGAAATAAAATATAATGAATAATATATATATATATATATATATATATATATATATATATATATATATATATATATATATATATATATATATATATATATATATACATTATTAATACAATACACTGTTCAAAAACCATGACAGCAATTCGAAACTAGGTTCAGTATCAGGAATATGTCAGAAACTTAATCAAGCGATTAGGGATGGAGCTTAACATTATCTACCTCGTCAAACTTACTGACAAATCAAATCCGAAAGGCTAGTAATTACGTAATTTAGGGACCACGATATAGATAGTCCCTGTGGTAACCGATTTATTGTAACTTGTGTTGATGACAACTGACTGGACTTGTGTTTGGCTGGCTTCTTTTCTCTTTCATTAGATTAAGGTGTTAGATTACATCTTGAATATGTTTTCAGGAGCTGGGTTGAACTAAGGTGACAGGATAGAACGTCTAGAACGACTAGGCAAAATATTTAAACAGAACTTGAAACTTCTGCATGGGATTGTTACTTAGGAATAGGTGCTAACATAGCAAACCAATTGGAAAGCACAGAATTTGATAATTGGAGTGAAGACACATAATGCACACAATTGATCTGAAACAGTGACCTTGTACATGTTCGTATATTCCACTTTGAATCATACCTCTTTTGTGGATTGGTTAGAGATAGTACTCCACTGCATAAGCCGAAGAAAATGAAGCTTGATTTAATTTTGCAACCTGATGTTTGGAATTCGAGTGCTTTAGCAAGCAAGCCACTTCTCTACTTATGACAAACATTTACTGGAACTCAACAAATGAAATGGTCACGTGATAAGCAAAACGAAACAATCACAATAATAAGTTAAAGGGAAAGATCACGACTATTATTTGCGACATAAAATTTCGGGTGGATGCAACTAATCCATAGATATCCAAACATATCTACTGTGAGTGAAAAGCACAAAACAGAACTGAAAAATAGTTACTAAGGTTAACTTTTAAAACAACGATAATTCTATAATACACAAAAGTTCATTTTTTCTGTTTGTTTTGTGTTTTTCTTAGACTCATAGAACGTACTCACCTCTTAAATATTAGTAAATGCCATCTACACATAAGAAGTATGCAACAGTGCTAAAACTCAAGATTTAGAAGAGGATAAAGAATAAACTATATATATATATATATATATATATATATATATATATATATATATATATATATATCATTTCTTTTAAAAACGAAATATCCAAAACACTTCGCAACTCCAGTGAATTCTACCAATAATCATAGAAATATGTAAAACGAACAGTTCATTGAAAGAAACTAAATACATTCAAAAATAAGCTTACCCCACTTGAAAACATGGCGTCGAAATAGTCGCTGGAAGCTGCCAAAACTACACGGTGAGCTAAAAATTCTCTTCCCTCTGCTTTGATAACTACATCACAGAGCTGCCCCTCCTTGCGAAATGCATTCATCTTTCTGAATGCCGTTACTGAGTAGTAGTCCATACCTTGAGAAAAAGTAATAAAATAAAAAAATTCTACATGAACAAGGAAACGGTAGACGTAAGATATTGAATACAATTCAGCCCCATGAACTAACGTTCATTCCCCAGTGTATCACATTTAATTATTTCAGGAATGAATACAGATGGTAATACGAATTATAAAATACTGAAAGACATTCATTTATACTGTAAATAAATAACCAACAGGCACGAGATATTTTATTTAGAAAGTTGCCAGCAGCAAATATCTATGTAATAAAGGTAAAGTAGGTCTAAAATGGGGAAAAAGAATACATGTAATCAGGATCACTTGGCAACGAACTTAAAAAGTCTCAAGATAACATATGATTATGAATAATCGTTGGAAACTATTTATTTATTTAAATACAAATAATAGTACAAGGGGGCATTTAATATATGCACTCCTTACTTCGTCATCCGATTTTTGTGAGGGCTGTGATACTGCCCGAACGTGCAAACCAAAGCAGGTGGTTTTCTTAGGGCACTACACCCAGAGCCTTTGACCTACAAGTCTAATACACAAGACAGTGAAGTAGAGTTAAGAGATGCACTTCCATAGTAGCCGGTGACCAAAAATAGGTTCATACGCCTTTTGTTGCTTTAGGATACTGGAGCTCATGTGCACTATTGGTTTGGAATTAGGGTTTTCAAACTCCCCTAGGTGAACTCTCCGAGTCCACCAACCCGGTTAAAGCGCCAGACATTCGGCTTTCGTTCTCTCAATCTCGTAACCAACCGGTTCGCCACAAGAAGGACTTCCTTGATAGTGATTGTATGTGTGGCCATGTGGGAGCATTTTGGGGAAGAGCTGGCTCTCCCCACTCTCGACCATGCCAGGGCATTTGGGGGCAATCACTATGAAAAGAAGCTCATAAATGTTTGCGCTAAATTAGAAGCCCAGTGCTAGATATCTTGTATTTTGTGATTAACTAAGTAAAATTTGACAATGACAGGTTTCTAAGATGCTTAAAATTGGTTAAAAAACAACCTATTGTGCAAACAAATCAGTGAATACAATATAGTATCTAAGCTAGATAACAAGAAATACCTGCTCCTGATGCACTGTGTTATATTATACGGTATGATTCAGTGCATAGTCAATGGTGATTGTGCAGGTAGAGAGTATCCTCTCACTCTAACTCCTAATTCCAAAGCAATTTTGTGAATAAAGGCGTAGAAAAGTATCATCTTATTATAGCTAATGTCATTTAGTGATATACACCCAAAACTTGATTCGTTATCCTAATGCATAAATGTGATCTAAATCCTATTAACAAACCCTAACCTTTCTCAATTATAGCTAGTTTCGGTTTGCGACTAAAACTTTATAGGCTTATGATTCCAACCTACAACACTACCCCCGTTCCAAATTTGTAAACTCGACCTTTTTCCTTTACGCTAATCAATAAGTTAACATATAAAGGGTCATTTATCATACCAAAATCACTATTTCACAGTAACCTTATTGGCTTTTGTTGTTAATTGCCATAAAACTAGGCAGTATCGCCTGGTTGACTGATAAGTCAGTATAGTGTGCTTTCATTAAATGCTTATAGAAAGATTATATAAAGAGAGGACGAGGGTGAGAGATTAAGTAAAATATCGGATATCCATAGCTAGTTAACTAGACATATGAAAAAAAGGGTAGGACTCTAATTTATGGACGAGCCAATCAGAAGCGTTTAAGGAGTTTCAAGGTCACGGCGCTAAGTTCAATGCGAGATGATCACATTCGACCGTTTTACAGCAGATTTTAGAGAAGAGGTGATCGTTGATATACTACAGCAGATGGGACTATTAAGAAGTTCCTGTGTCTGTGACTGCGGTAATCAAATGACCGCAGCACGATGTGCAGACTACCGCGATGACATTGCATTTCGTCGTACTATATGTTGGAGAAAAAAATCTGCTCGAACTGGCACTTTTTCTGCCCGGTCACGGCTAAGGCTTAGACAAATCATGGAAAGATAGTGGAAATAGATAAGGCGCTAGTTAGAAAGCGAAAATACAATAAAGGACGTTTTATCAAAGAAGATTGGGTAAGTAGCACTTCCGTGAATATACTTGACAGGTACTTGGGTTTTACGATCGTTTAACTCAAAAAGGACATTTTCAAAGAGTAAGAAACCGTCAGGTAACGGCAATCATACCAATCATCAAGGAGTACGTTCAGCCTGGCACGACGATCTATACCGATGATTGGAAAGCGTATAGATGCCTCTCGAGACTTGGTTTTGTGCATCATGTTGTGGTGCACAAACGTCATTTTGTTGATCCAACGACGGGAGTCCATACAAACAACATTGAGGGCATGTGGTCTAGGCTGAAGTATTTTTTAAGACCCTACCACGGCTCCAGAGGACGGTTATTATGGAGTCATATGGATGAGTTCTTATACCGCATGCACTATGATTTCAAAACTTCTGAACCTTAATCAAAACTCAACAAGTTCTTAAATCATGTAAAAGAAGAATATCCATTGTAATTCATCACTTTTTTATAATATATTTTTACTTTATACTAACTCTCTTCTGATTGACTAATGTTCTCAAGGTCACTTAAAAATACGTTCAAAGGTCGTCCATAAAATAGAGTTTCACCGAAAAAAGGGTATTTGAATATAAACTTGGTTAGTCTGTGTGACATAAAGCTTATTCACGAGAAGTATGGTGAAGCTGTAATTTATGGACGACCTTTGAGCGAAGCTAAAGAGACCTTGAGAATGTCCACCTACATACTACGGCTAACTGAAGGTTATAAACCAGCGTGAAGGGTTAGAATTAATATGTACAGTTGATGGTTAAGGTTATGAATAAGATATGGAGTTTCCATCACGAACTGACATCAGCTATAATGCCAAAACTCCATCTAACCAAATGGATGAGTGAATTTTGCGCCAAAATTTGTTATCGATCTGAGTGGTTCGTCCATAAATTATAGTCTCTCCGTTTTTCGCCTTACACAAGCAGACATTGAGTTTTGGGGATCAACTCAAGACAGGCTAACTAGCCAAAGATGCATTAAAGCTTTAGTGAGATTATTTATTTTCAATGGGACAATGGACCCTCAATCTATAACAGCCGCCTAATAAGGTTATGATAGTCTTATAGTTTATTTGGTCAAAAACTATGCTATTTGAACCTATATAGTATTTATAGCTTATACATGTAACAACAACACTGCAGATGTAAAAATAAACAACTTTTAGGTGAAACACTACCAATATTTATTGGATGATATCGAGCGTAAAATGAAAAGGTTTGTAATCGTTTACAAGGTAAGCTTGTCAAGAAAGGATGAGGGGATGTAACACTTTAACTGTAATTAGATGGACATACCTTCGTCCATGAGCGTCCGCCCATCAGATTTCATGCCTTGCTTTTTTGGTAGGGTACCCATGAAATATGGAGTTCTAAAACGTCGGCAAACAACGGGTGATGTGTGGACGACTTTAGAAATAACCTGAGTGCTGAAATGCTCAGGGTACTAAAAAGCGAGGTACTCTAAGACATGTACCAAAAAAGTATTGACAACAAATCTAAGCCCCACTTATCATTTCTTAAAAAGACTCGATGATCAACGATGCTGAAAACATGTAGCGGAAAGGCCAACCTTACCGCCCGTGAGATTGAATCGAGGAAAGTCCAATAATTATCATGCGGAATTTTCATTGAATTAAGCGTTGAAAAATAACGATATAGATTAAATATAACAATGATCAGACACCTATGGTTATATCTCAAGCATAACTCCCGTGTCTTGTGAGTCATCACAAACATCTAGGTAACATTATTTACTACCCAAAGTTATTCATGGAGAGATAGACGTTTGGTTTTTCAACTGTCAAATTAATGTGCTTTAAGCTGTTCATCGCTGAATTTGAGACAATTTGATTGGTGATGTTTCTACCACTTTGTGTAACCCCGTCGCTCTTTCTAACCAGTTAGCGAGTATTATTAATGTCAAATCATGTACAGCTTCTGATTGACATTGTAAATATCTTCGTGTAACGGTGATTGTACTTAATGGCGAAAGCGTTATTAAGGTGCATTTTACTTCATTCCTAATCATATTTATTTATTAATTACCACTCCTTTACATTATCTTTTACAGTTTCTCTCATTACAATAAATATTTATTCTTGCAATGATGAATTTCGATAAAATCAACTGAAACGCATCGCTGAAAGTCCTCCAAACCCGGTCTATTTGAACTGGCGTAGATCTTGAGTTTTAAAGTCCTTTAAGTTGGGAATGGTGGAAAAGTAATTTTCACCACCTTCGCGCAAGTGGAACGTCTTGTATTGTGCATCTTTGAATCGATGTTTCTCAAATTAATGCTTCAATTTCGCTATTTTGAATTGTTTCGGCTCATACTTCATGAATAGTAACATCGATCTAATTTACGGTTTATACACCATGTGACGTATTTTGAGAATTTGAACTGACTTATTGCCTCTGGCCATTTAAAAGCCAATAAGTATTATTCGTCTTGTGAGTTAATTATTTATAAAGAGATGAACTACGCACTACAGTTCGACCTCGATGGGTTCATACTTGCACGTTTTCAGAACGAATTTTTCCGTAGAATACATCACCAAACTTAGTTGTATCTAGTCAGCTTATACGCCAAAAATTTAGCTCCCAAAAGCTTTTATGAATTACTATTTGGTTAATAATAGCAGACAGCAGCAACAAACATTCATGTTTATTAAGCGTTGCTGAAGCTCGGAAATTTTGTAGTTTCGGTTGCACTTGATTATTCTTGCCATTTACAACCGACGTAGGTACCTTGAACACTCAGTCTGTCCATACTGTTGGGAATTATAGCTAACCTTTCTGTAAATAGATGGTTATGCACGTGAAAAATTTAATACGTTGTATAACTTAAAGTATGAAACTCGAAATTCGTCTCCTTTAATGCAATATATCGATGGAAATCCTTATTTTCTCAGGGTTAACGATTAACTGTAGTTAAGAGCTTCAAAATGATCTGCAGGAATAATACGAACGGCCATTAATTTTTCAGTAGCCGATAAGTGGTTTAAATTGAGTCATTTTTCATAGTTATCATCAAGCTAAATATGCATAAACTATGAATAATATTGAGATATTTGTTGTGGGGTTCTCAGCAATGTTCATGATAAAACCTTATTTTGTACCCGTCACTCATTTGTCCTAAACTGTACTGTTTTTTAAGAAATATCAAAGACCTGTAACTAAGCTGAATTACGGCGTCGCAAAGCTGCCATATAACGAGACTGGAATAACTAAATCAATTTTATTTTTCATGCAGAAGCAGTTGAGGTAACTTAATCACAGGTTATAAATAACTTCATCATCAATTTGCTTTTGAAATGCCCTCATTTACCTTATCTTTCAAAATAGGGAACTTGCGAGGACACTTTGAAGAAGCTTACCAGACCGGAATAAATTACCTGCCAGCTGCTTATTGCCTATCTATCTATTACCTATCTAGTCGAATCGTCAATGAATGGAACTCCTCATATCAACACATAAATGAAGGTTCACCTACAGACACATGGGAAACAAAGTACGGGATGAACCATAATAGCAAGTATCGTCATTTCAAACTGATGCTTTACTACAACTCCATGTTCAGCTGAGATCTTACTAGTATTCATTGTTGACCTATAAGCATTGCTGTAAATGGGATGACATAATGGACGACAGTGTACGAATGGAGGGCGTTCATGGCCATGTGAAAGAAAGTATGGGCAAGTTTGAAACGAGTTTGGGATAATTAGATGATGTGTTTTCCGTCATTATACAAGAACCAATATTATGTTTATTATCAAACATGACCTCCTCATTTACCGAACCTCCTTCAAAAAAATTCGGAGAGTAAGGGTTGGTGAACTGTTTAAGGTTTGTTGATTTGCTTACTGGGTGGTGTAGTTAGCACCTTGCGAAATTTCACTTTGCCAGCAGTAGAAAAATACTCGGTATATGGTAGACTGAGAATGATAAGAAAGTTATGGTGATATCCTGATTATAACTCCCGTGTGGCTTTATTTTAGCTTTAGGACAAACTTTATTAGTTCAGATGCACTGTAACTTTTGAGTCATCTCAAACTTCCTAGTAACTATATCTCCTTCATGAGAAACTAAGAATTGCGATACGTGCATCTCTTTTATCCATTTTGGAGTTCATTTTATTCTTGTAAGTCTTAAGCGTGGACATGTTTCAGATTTCTATTTGTGTATTGAGGACAGAAGGCCTATGGTCTATAGCAGTTTTTTCTAGTAAGCTCCGGAGAACGTCTAGTATTCTCGTGAATGAGCTGCTTGAAGGGGTGGACATCACGTCTTCGAGTAACTGGTTCCAAGAATTGATGACTCAGTGTGAAAACCTATACGCCAAGGGTATACTGTCCATTCTTGGCCTTTGTACTAGCCTGATATTTCGTGATCCGATAGGAAGAAAAAAAGAATAAATATTATGTCCAAAATCATTTCTCACTATTTAATACATCACAATCAGATCACCTCTTAGTCCGCGGCAGAACAGAGTAGAGAGGTCTAGCTTTTCAAGCCGCTGTTGTCATGGTAAACCCCGGAGTTTCGGAATTGTATGAATAGCTGCCCTCTGTACTATGTCCAACGTATCAGGGACAATTTGTAAACAGGGACATGTAGCCCGAAAATGGTTTTCAAGTTTGAATCTCACTTAGGTCGTATATATTGCACTGAACATGGTAGTATGTGAATGTCTGTCTTAAAGCCCATAGGGTTCTACACCCCTTAGCTGCAACTTCCCGGCAGTGAGTCGTGGTCTTCGTATCATGACTCACCGTCACACGAAGGTCCTTGTGGTACCGGACCACGGGTACAGGCACTTCCCCTATTCTGTATCCTCAAAGTGCACTCTGTCGCGATGAAACTCATTAGCCACTCTTTAGACCGGATAATCACGATATTCAAATCTGTCTGCTGTGCGCAGGCATCTGCATCTCTATTTCCCACAAATTTTTTACATCGTCAGCGTATAACAACATTGCTGACTCAACCATACTAGGGAGTTCACTTACATAGAGTATAAAAAGTAAATGACCCAAGACAGAACCTTGCGGTACTTCGCTAAGTACTGGTCTTCAGGTGGAGCACTTCGAATTTGCTCTTACTTTGTGTCTACAACCTACCAGAAAATGCTTAAGCCATTTTGGGAGAAGTTCGACAATGCCTAGATTTTCCAGCTTTAAGAGCAGTCTATTCGTTGACACCTTATCAAGTGTTTTGCTGAAGTCTATGTAGACAAAATCCACTGGTTTTTCAATATCTAGAGCCTTTCCTCATTGTTCTCTCTCCATAAAATCTGCTATGCAATATAAAAATTTCCTGAAACCATGTTTTCGCTGTTTAACAAATTGTTGGTATCTACTAGTGTCACCAAGGTCTTCGTGACTATTCTTTTCAGTATTTTGACTACGACATTGCTGAGGCTGGCAGGTCTGTAGTTTGAAGAGAGCTGTCTTTATTCGATTTTAGTTATCGGCGTGACGGTCTCATCTTCCCAGTTTCGGGACACGTATTATCTTATCAAATTTCATTTTCCTTACCTACACTGTTCAACTTCAGGCAGTACTTACTACATCAACAAGTATCGTTTTTTGAAGATATGTTTTGTTCCCCGCTATTCGTATTTCTTAACACACACACTAACAGATGTATGGAATATTTGCATCTGGATACACACTTGTAATCAATTTGTGTTATTCCTTTGTTCACTAACGCTGTAAACCGATGAATTTATACAGAGTTAGGTAAGATGTATATGTTATTGGCATCATTGTCGTTCCACTACAATATATACATCAAAACGTCCCTTTAATGTATCTAACAATAACACAAGTATTTGGAGTTTGACAACACCTTAATCAGCAACATCTATAATTGAAACGTCCCAACCCAGTGAAAGTAGAGGTCAGGAGCGAGGATATATTTGATAGGCTATAGATATATCGAGAAGTGACTGATCTAAGCTGTCTAATGGTTGTAAGAGAGGTGGAGTACAGCGTAATCACTCGTGATCCGGTGTGCAAGCGTGACCGAGCGCATCCAGTTAGGCGAATCCATTAAATCCAATACGTCAGCATCAAATGTCGAAGACTTATAGAGCTATTGATTTTGGGGATTTATTTACAGCTACACCTGCTTGTAAACTACTGGTCTATTTCTTTTCAGGATTTTACATATCATTTCCTTACTTCACTCTTTATACATTGTGATATTTTTTCATACTCCTGGATGTTTATCCTACCCTCGTTCACTCCTGCTATATATGGAACTTAGATTCTTGATATACCGCGTATAACTTGAGCACTCCAACTTTAGAACCCTCTAGGTAGCAAATGAGAAGATAGAAAACAAGCGAATGGAATGCTATTCCAAGCAGTGTCAAATATGGTATAAAATTCTGAGGTATTTATATTTTTTAGCAAAAACGAAATCATCATTATAGTCATTCAATCCCCATACAGTGGTCTTCAGCGTTTGTTCAATAGGGAAGCTACACGTAGGTATTCCGGAATGTTCTTCCGAAGGTGACTGGATGAAATATGTTCGGCTCTTCCTGAGTTTCTTAGAGATTCTTCGAGTTCATCC